TATAGCGCATGGCGGGTGAATAATCTGCAAAAAGATTAGCGCGCTGGCAGGGGGTCGAGCGGGAGACCTCATGTGGTGGTAGAAAGTTACTGACTAAGATAGTGGCGCAAAACTTTAAGAAGGAATGTCAGTGCCACATCCGAAATTCTTTAAAAGATCAAACGCGAGCTTTTCTCTGCAAACGTGCATATTTTTTTGAAACACAAACATTTTAAAAATTGTGATGAGTATTTCAGAAACATAACTTTTTTTTAAAAAAGTGATTTTTTTTTGAACACTAATCTTCTTAATAATTTTTAACGACATTATTTTTTAATCATTGATCAATTTTTGGGAAAACGGTAACATGTTTTTAAAAAAATGAACGAAGTTTGTAAACAGGAATATTTTTTGAAACTCAAAATAAATTCAACATCACAAACAATTAGGATCTAAGAACAAAAATTGTAAATGCGAATAATTTCTTAAGGACGGAAAAAAATATTAAAACTCCCAGAAAAAATCAAAACGTGAAGAATTTTGGAAAACATGAATATTTTTTAAAAACACGAACAATTGTTTAAACCGACAAATTTTGTAAACCTGAGCATTTCTGAAACTCACAAACAAAATTAAAAAACCCAAACATTTTTGAAAACACATACTTTGTTTTGAAAATGGGTACATTTTCTGAAACTCCCAAACAAAATTCAAAAACACAAACAATGTTTGAAAATACGAACATTTTTTTGGAAATGCAAACATTTTTTAATCTATGAACAAAATTTAAAAACATGAACTAATTTGAAAACAGAAACATTTCTGAAGCTCACAAACAAACTTCAAAAATGCAAACAATTTTTTAAAACGGGAGCATTTCTTGAAAATGAGAATATTTTCTGAAACTCCCAAACAAAATAAAAAACATGACCAAAATTTTGAAAACGAACAAATTTTTAAAAAAGAACATTATTTTGAATTTCATGATTTTTTTGAAAACATGAATTTCTTGAAATTTCTGAACAAATTTCGAAAAAGAAAAATAACATGAAAAATATTGAAACTGAAACTGAAAAATGAAAAAGAAAAGTATACCAAAGAAGAAAAATAAATTGGAAAAAGGAAAACCCGGTTCAGGAACCTTCTAGAAGGTTCCCAAAACCGGTAAATACCAACTGGGGACGATCTAGAAGGTTTCGAAAACAGTTTACTAGAATGCTGCGCGTACTGCTATACATGGGTCGGCCCTATTGCTCGATAGGTCGACTTGCCTGTGTGAATCAACGACGACAGTACGACGTAGAGAGCGGTAAATAGGGAATTCCTCCGGTATGTCATTTTTTTTTGTGGAGAAACTCCGGTATGTCATATATGCAAACAAATTGAAGAAATCAATGGAATAAATGTAGAAGGGCCAACAAAGGAGTCAGGTGGATGGGCTTTCACTGATTTTGGGCCGTGACGAAACCTGGCTACTACTTTTCTGATTCTCAAAAAAAAAGACTACTACTTTTCTCCCTTCTCATTTATCTCAAAACATCTTCCTAAAAAAAAATCCTCAAAACATTCTCTCAATTTTTTAATCTCAAAACGAACCCTCAACAAAATGTATCTCAGAAAAAAATATTAATGAAAATTCTTTTGGGCCAATTCCTTGATCTTCTGAAGTGTTTTCAGATTGTCCATTGTCAGTATCTTTATTATATCAGTATGTTAAGCTATATAACTTGGGGTTTGTTTCCTGTAATGTGTTTTATCGGAACAACTCTGTTGATATGTACATAAAAAAAAGGAACAGGAAGACCAGTTGATGCATCCTATGTAAGGCGTCTCTTGATAATCGTATTGTACGTCTAAATGCATAAGTTCAGGTAATCAAGAAACTCTCTGCATTTCTTGGTGGAGTAAGCATACCATAGAAACAAACAATTAATAACCCTTTCATGAACAATTTTCTTTAATAATCCTATTCTGGAGATGGAGGGAAACCAGAAGAACACAGCAGAAGCAGAACCATTCACTTGGGGCCTTCACTTGGAGATCTAAAATGGCATATGATTTGGACTGTCGAAACAAATGGATCTGCAGGCCTACAGAGATTCACATATCGACACAAACAGCTAGAGCATAGATCGATGGATCTGTCAGGCAACGCAGCCGATCCTCGTACCGGCGGCGGCGGCCGTGAAGAAGTCGACGGGCTGGCAGGACACCTCGACGTCGTACGGGCGGGAGTAGGCCAGCCCGACCTTGAACCGGACTTGGGCCCTCACCAGCACGCTCATGGGAGGCGCCCGCTGTGCACGGACGCCCTTGTTGCCGCCGGAGTTACTGACCAAGAAGCGCAGGTCGAAGAAGGCCGACGCACGGAAGCTGCTCGAGCTCGCCGGCGGCTGGAGGAGCGGCATGGCCTGGTGGACCACCGTCTGCACCGACGCGTCCGCCCCGTGGCTCGCGCTGTACACCCGCAGCCGGGCCGTGAGGGAGCTGTACTCCACCCCCGCGCGGCGGCTCGGGTTGGCAGCGTCCACGGTGAAGTTTAGGATCAACACCGGCGCTCCCTGGACCTGGTTGGTGGAGGTGGCGGTCACGGAGAAGACGATGCGCGCGGGGCTGAGGATGACGGAGGTCACGACGGCCACGGCGCTCACGGCGAGGGTCACGGCGATGGCCGCCAGGATGTAGTGCTTCGGGCCCCACAAGCCATCAGTGAACTTCCCAGTGCTGGTCGCCATGGAAAACAAAAACTTGCTCTCCCCTCCTAGGTAGAGGCTGTCGATATGTGTATGGACTTCGTATGGTGCATGCGCAGAAGGCAACCATGGTAACGGGGTGAAAGTGAAACCAGGCCGGGTATCGCCATGTTATCCCGATCCATTGTCTGGGCGGGGTTTTGCTAGAGTAATTTTGCGGGAAGAGCAGAGTAATTTTCCCCGCTGTGATCACCGTCTCGCCGTCCAGCCAGCGAGCGGCAAGAGCTCAATACAACAATGTATTCGCCGGTGGTAGAAAATGAGCAATAGGAGCACATCAAGTCTCAAACATTCAGACAACATCATAACTTGTTTTTCTATAACTTGTTGATAAGCATAGGAGTACATCACAGTATATTGCGCCTTAAAAATCAGACATAAATCTTCCATATCTAAATGGGAGAGGATTTGTGATACGCAAGTGCGGGGGCATGCATGTTCCTGATGCCTGCTTTTTATTTTGGCTTCCGATTTTCAAAGCTTTAAAAGTTAAGTTATGTTTTCATATTCGTATTTCTTGTGACCAGCGCTTTCAAATAAAATCCATTTTGAATTTTAACGACTTTTTAAAAAATATGTTAAAATTAAATGTTGAAACTTAGTACGAGCGACCGATAAAAAATAATTATTTTGTGTTTACAATCGATAGAAAAAATTGCTTGAAATTATATATGTGAAATTGGTTGAAACCTGACAGTTTTAGATTCAAAAACCGTAAATTTCATCATTGAAAGTTAAACTTTTTGAGGGATTTATTTTCTTTTTTATTGTGCCCTTGTGCGAAATTGAACTACTAGGAGAATCACGAGGCAAAACGAGCGGGGGACAGGACTTGGCAGATGACTACTCCCGCACTAGTGTGCACCTTTTCATTTCCGTATCTAAATGGAAAAATAGCTGCCCTCACTACCGTATTTCTTTCACCATGCAAGCATGCAACATGAATGCCTTCTATATTATAGATACCAATCTTCCCACACGCGCGCATCGCTCCTTCCATGTCCGATTTGGGCGGCACCGGCCCTCCCCCGCCTTCGTCCCGATCCCACCGCCCTCTCCCTCGTCGTCACTGGTGTCCCTCTCTGGGCAAAGCCTAGAGGAAGACGCCGGCAGTCGGCCCTGCTTCTTTGCCCACGGGGCGGTCAGCCCGTGGCGGCTAGTTGGTGGCTTGCGTGCTGCCACTCGGATCGAGGGTGTGGGGTCATCGTCGACAAACTCGACGTGGGAAGATTTAGAGTGATGAAGAAGGGTTGTGGCTCGCGCAGGGCAGGATGGTGAGGTATGTGTGGCCCTGTACCGTCGGCCGCGGGTGCCGAGGAGCGGCGATTCGGCCCGTGGGAGTCGAGATAAGGAAATATGGTTGGATGAAGAAAAAATGGTTGCTAGATGTTGGATTTACTATGAGGGACCGACTTCAATTTCAATTTTCACCCAACTGAATTACGAATAGCCTGTCCATTGAATAGCATGTCCCGTAATGGACATTACACGTACGTGTGCACGTATAATCAAAGGGACCTTTTTTTTTCTTAGGTACTTCAAAAAACATCTTACAATAGTCACTTTCATCGATGTCCATTAGATCTTCATCTAATGGCTGAAAATAGATCAACATTGCTTATGTCCAACCTCCACCATCTTATTCCTCACGTAGTCACTGGCCAACACAGGACTAACTGCTTACCTCCCACCGCCCCACCCCCCAAAGCCAGGGGCTTTCGTTGCCCAGCCCTCCCATCGATCTCCCCCACTGCTGTAACGCCCGGATAATCATGCTACAGTAATCCCACGCTAATCATGCCATGACACCTCGGTTACTGTTGCTATCCTCGCAATAATTCGGAACCGTT